GAATCCTCGGAATAGTTTTGCAGATTTGTCTATTGCTCTTGTTCTTCAATTATTTTTCACATTTGTCTGTGTCCACTTTCTTGAAACACACAAATGTCTCCTGTTGTGGTTTCCCACTATTGTTTCTTAATACTTCAGTGTTGTGGCATGCACTCTGCTTTTATACCCTCGCCTCTCTCAAAGATTACACAGGCTTCTGAGAAGAGGAGATGCAGAAAATAATTGGATTTGTATCTTTTAAGCCTATGTACTTCAAAGTGACTTAGCCCATTGAATTGTATTCATTGGTTAGTTGATTGCTAAAGTAGCATTAATTACATTAATTTGTTCAACTACTGGGAGTTTCACAAAACAGGCAAATGGTAGTTTTCATTTTTAAGATGTTTTATAGCTGTAGCTATAATCCAAACATTTTACTCAACAAAATTATGCCAGAGTAACTGATCAGTTTGGTTAAATTGAATGAAGCACAGGTGAACACAAAGAAAATTCCTTCAGACAAAAAGATCTGGCATAGCAAAAATGTACCTGAAAAATATGACAAGCTTTTAAGACCAAAGCTAAGTCTAAGAAAATCTAAATGGGAAAAAATTTCCAGTTCAAATCCAACAGTGAGTGAAAATTTCAAATTCAGATCCAATAGTGAGTGATATGTGATACAACTCAAGGAGTTAGCTAACTTGCTTCATGAATTTGTCAAAAGTGAATACTAATAAAGTGGAAAGTTTCACTAAAATTAGAGGGTAGTTAAATAAGATTTAAGTTTATCAGAAGCATGAGTGTTGCTTGACCATGAAAAGATTGTGGGTGTAAAGATGCTAGCTATTTTACAACTTTTTATTTTGCTATGTTTATGTTAAATTATATTTTAGGGATAAATATTTTTCAGTGTATTAATGTATTTAAATTCAGATTGTGTTAGTCATATTTTATAACTATTTTTAAAATAACATTGAGGATGTATTTCTCCCATTTTGTTTGTTCTCTATCTTACCTTATCAAACTATTTAATGTTTAATTCGATATACTCATGTTAAATGAATGGCATTAGTTTTATTCTAAATCCCACATGGATATATATAATGCTTTGAGCCCTTGATTGCTATATATTCATTATGCACAATGAGTTTGTAGCCTATCTCAGCAATAAAGGATTTGACCCTAAATCAGGGAATTCTAAGGTGCAGTTATTAATGCCATGTCTACTTTCATTACTTCTTGTGGCTGAAGTGCCACACTTCAGTTTCATTCTAAGTGTCAACCGCAGGGATGCTCCCAAAGTGCTCTTGTACCAAGTGTGAACCCCACAGCTGCCCAAGGAACCTGTAATTGATCTATTGCAAGGTTTATGTTTATACCATGCTGGTAATTATAGTTTTGTTTGACACGTGAGTCATGATATTTATAACCCATCTCCTTGGCAGCTCATAAGAAGCCTAATGATTTCAGATGAGAATTATAAGCAGAAACAAAAGTCAGAAAGCTGGCAGTACTTTGGGACTTTTGTCCAGAGTGATCACCTCACTAAAATCATTTTAGTGGTCCCTGGGATAAGAAATTTCATAGTTAACTTTTCTCATAAATATAAGCTCTTACATCATTAGCAATAAGACAGCAGGCAATAAGTGATTAAATAAATACATAGCATGTTTTCTTAACAGAAATTAATTACATTAAAACATGCCAGTGGATTTAGACATTAATTTATACTAGGTAATAGTAATGAAATATTCTTGTCTCCAGGTTCCCTTCTGATGAATTAATTAGGTGCTCTCTAAGGAATTTTGTATTTTCACACACAAATTTTCAACTTGTAGGCCAAAGACAAATTCAAATACATCTCAGAAAGCTAGTTTCTTGGACACAATTTTCCTCATTTGTTCTCTCTCCAGTTATTTTACATAACTTGAAGTCAAGAGCAATGTGTGAAGGCATGTTAAGCAGAAAGTTGGCATGAATTGCCATTTACTGAAACTAAAAATAATTATCAGTCAGCATCCTCTTCCTGATACCCAGATCTATCAAATATGTTACACTTCCTCTAGTTAATTATTTAAGGAGCATTTGAGCCTGTATATTTATAGACAGACATTATTACAGTTAGCCCGTTGGACTTAATACTTACTGAGCCACAAGTACTGAAAACTGCCATGTCCTGGGACACAAGTTCACTAAAACAACTAAGTACAAAATGGAAAAGTATTTATTTTACTGTATGAAAAAAGAAGGACTTGACCTATGTTTATTGAATACAAATATTCTCTTTAAAAGATGCTTAAAATAATTTATGTCAATTGCCCATTTATAAATGGCAAGATTGCTAGTTTGCTAGTATATTTTTCCTTAAGACTGTTTTTTCATTCATTTTCAATCCTTTTTCAATATCATTCTTGATATTTGGAATAATTTTATGTGTTTGTAGTGATTTTCCATCTATGTTGGTTTATTTTGAAATGCAGACATTTTAATACCTCAGAAACACTATTATAGCCAAAAAATTAAATAATACAATTAGAGGTGATCTTCTAAAGCAGGGATTTATATTAAGCTTATTTCAGGTGACAAATCAGATTTTACTAATGCTGTTTAAGAATAGTAATATTGGTGTGGTATCCATAATATATTCATAAATAATCAAATTGATCACCTAACCTGATGTAACTAGTCATTCACAATCTTCTGCTATACAGAAGCCAATTACTTGAAACCATGCCAGTGAATTTATGTGCTCAGACCGGGAAGTGATTTTCATAGTTCTTAACCAACCTGTCAGATATCTGGGATGAAAATCATATCATACTACTATAGAAGCCTGGACTAGAAATAAATCAGAAATCATTTGCCCTCAATTAACATGCCAGTTCTAACCAACTTAAAGTATTTACATGTTCTTCTATCAGTGAATGCTCTAGTTGACACTTCGTCCAACTTTTTAAAATCTCTCAAAGACGATTTGGAGATTTCTATTTCGCTGGAGAGATATTCTTGATCAAATTCAGTATCTACTCTTTCATGGAGAGGATTTGCTGAGCACTTTTCTTTGCAATTTCTAAGTCAAGTATCTATTGCTTCTGTAAACTATTTCACTTAACTGAAATTTATAATGGATTGTTCCTGCCACTTGGAATGTGGTAGTTTTGCATAATCTATTTGTAAGTGGTTGTTTCCAGTGTTGTTTCGCGTATCTGTGGAGCTTGTTGTATAGCCTTTATATTAACATATACGAGGTTTGTAAAACAGTTGAGTGAACTATTCTTTGAAATTTTTTATTTAATTTTGTTGTGAATATATTATAGAACTTAAAAACACGTTTATCTAATTTTTCTTTTGTTGTATTTGATTATGTCATGCAGGTTAAAATAAAAGCACTTTGGTGAAAAGATAATTTCTTTGAATTTATTTTATTATGTGTCTCAGCTCCTGAAAAGATTTGCCCCATTTTTATAAAGATTATTTTAGGGAGCTATAGCAGATACCTGTTTCCAAAAATCATCTTCCAGACAAGAGGAAAAACATCCTTTCAGACTGTGTATATGGCACTAATCTCTACAGCCAGGTTGGAATCTTTGTAAGCACAGTTCATGGTAGAAGCACAGAATTAGATGAATAAGCAGTTTTAAAGAAATCCAAATACAGATTACATAATGATTGATTTAACCAATTAGGGGCGAGAATTTTGAAACATATGGAAAGTGATATCAAAAATCCTATTAGTGGGCCGGGCGCGGTGGCTCACGCCTGTAATCCTAGCACTCTGGGAGGCCGAGGCGGGCGGATTGTTTGAGCTCAGGAGTTCGAAACCAGCCTGAGCAAGACCCCATCTCTACTAAAAATAGAAAAAAATTAATCGGACAACTAAAAATACATAGAAAAAATTAGCCGGGCATGGTGGCGCATGCCTGTAGTCCCAGCTACTCGGGAGGCTGAGGCAGAAAGATTGCTTGAGCCCAGGAGTGTGAGGTTGCTGTGACCTAGGCTGACGCCACGGCACTCACTCTAGCCCAGGCAAAAAGAGTGAGACTCTGTCTCAAAAAAAAAAAAAAAAATCCTATTAGTGCTTGCTCCCCCTTGAGAGATTGAGTTCCATAAACTAACTAAAGATACTGACTTTCTGAGCTGTTGTTCTATGCCCTAAGACAAGTCACTCATATGCACTGTGACATGAAGTGAGTATATTAAGTCTGTTGGATAGTTCAAGTCAATGTTAATGAAATAGCAAACCAATGTGATTACAGAAATAGAAAGTGCTTGAGTAGTCAGGAAATACCCATCTTATTGTTAAGTGCTTTAGTTGAGCTGCCTTTATAAAATTTATAAGAAATGGTGAAACATAAATCATTTTTGCAAGTCCTGACTAAGAGGGAGCTAACGAACCATTGGAATGAAGGCAGCGGTTCTTAACCCAGAAACAAAGCAAGGCTACAATTAAAGGAGTCCGTGAATCTCTGAAATGCTATACAAAAAATGTATATGCATTTTTGCATTTTTCTGGGGTATGGGTCCATAGCTTTCATTAGAATTCCGGAAAGGTCCATGAAGCTCTCCCCATAGACAACACACAGAACATCTGTCACAGGGTAGCACTCTGTAGAATAGTAAGGGCTTCTTAATTACTCTGTGTAAAAAAAAAAAAAAACACTAATATTGTAAACATATGCACTGGTCCCAAACCTTTTGGTACCAGGGAACTGGTTTCATGGAAGACAATATTTCCATGGACTGGGGAGGAGGGGAGAGGCAGAGCTCAGGCAGTGATGCGAGTGGTGGGGAGTGGCTGTAAACACAGATGAACAGATGAAGCTTCGCTTACCCACCTGCCACTCACCTCCTGCTGTGCAGCCCACTTCCTAACAGACCACCAACTGGTACTGGTCCATGGCCCAGGGGTTAGGGATGGCAGTTCTATAGAACTACCAGTAGTTTAAAATTTTTTAATGTAACTAAATAAGCTCAGTGATTCCTTTTCATTGAAGACGGTTATTTATAAAAAAGCATGCAAGAGATTAAGAGAAACCGGATTTATTTCTTTGGTACAACCAGAGATGTTACCTCAAACCTTTAAAATAAATAGTCTCGTCAATAAAATTCATGAATGCCAGGGTATTAAAATTCTTTCTTTGCTTTCACATAGAAGAGCTCAAAATATTAACAGGTTTGTGGTACAGTACATACAGTTCAACAAAAATTCAGGCTAAAGATGGAAACTAACATGATATAAGAAAATCATTTCAGGTGACACAGCCCTTTCTTGCCACTCCAGAAAGAGCACATTGATGGGATTTTAAGCACCAGTTCTACTGAATGTAGTGGGATTTCTTTATAACTAGTCTAGTAATCTTCCATATAACTGAAACAATAATCTGAGAACATCTAAATAAAAAATGAAAATAACTACTGCAACTGAGGTAAACCAAACAGTTGTTTTTGTTTATTGGCACAGTGGCCCACAATGTATCACATACGTATAGCACACTCAAGTTCAAGATCCTGGGAACAGGATTATAAATTTATTTAAAGGGAGGTTTGTGTGTGTGTTTTATTAACCAATGACTCTGCTGTCTTCCCTCCAAGGGAAGGAAAGAGGACTTATTGAATAGCACCATTCTTCTAAATCTGATTGTCAAGTAGGACTTCTGTAATCATGTTGAAGGTAATTGTCATCTTTGCCCCAGCTTCAGGTGGTGTTTCTCCTCCAAGCTCCTTCACCAGGCATGGTTTATGCAGAGAGCCACGCAGCACTGAGCCTTTCATGGATCAGGCCCTTTGCTAAAGGCTCGCTGACCAGCCTGCATGGTGCAGGAGGCTGGCTCACAGAAACCGGGAGGGCCAGGAGGTCCTGGGGGCCCAGGCACACCAGGAATTCCTGCCACCCCTGGGGGGCCTCGCTCACCATCCCGACCATTTCTCCCATAGCTGGCAGGGCCTGGGTCACCTGAAACACATAAGAGAGCACACACGTGAACAAGAGAATCCTTGTAGCTGCAAACTGGCAGAAGTGCTGAGTGATGATCGATGATGATGATTATGATGATAAAATCCCTTCATTGGACTTGAGTTTCATGGAAATTAAAAAAAAAAAAAACAGACCTCGGTGTCAGTAGAGCTACACTGTGCACCATGGTAACCTGTAGCCACATGTGTCTGTTGAGTGCCGAAATGTGGCTAAGCCAAATGGAGATGAACTGTAAGTATAAAGAACAACTGGATTTTAAAGACTTAGTGTGAAAAAAAACAAGCTATTAATAATTTTTGTATCTATTACATGATGAAATTATATTTTGTATGCAGTGGGTTAAGTAAATTACATTATTAAAATTAATCTCAGTTGCTTTTATTTTTTTAATGTGGCTACTTGAGAATTTAAAATCATACACATGAATCACATTTGTGGCTCACATTATATTTCTTCTGAACAGCACTACAGTAGCAGCATTCCTGCCTTCCTATGTCTAACAGGTGAGCAACATCCAGGCAAGGAAAAGTGTGACTCATTGGTTAAAAACACAAATTTTGGAAACACACAAATGGCTTTAAGTTCTAGCTCTGCTATTAACAAATAGTGTGACATTAGTAAGTCGCTAACCTCTTAGTTTCTTCATCTATCAAATAGGATAATGCCTTATCATTAAATTCCATGATTGAAAGCACCTGATAAATCAGGGCTACTGTTACAATTATTAAGATATTATTGATTAATGTCTTTTAGAAGACTGTGCCATGAGTTCTACAAAATTTCATGGTATTCTTCTCATCAGCGGCTTACCCCAACATGAACTTCACCACAGCAAGTTCCTTGGGGCCATCTCTTGCATGGCTTCCTCTCTCCATGTTCAACAGTTGTATGTTTCACCCAATGGGGCATATTCTCTGAGGCATGGCACCCCATAACTATGAGGAATTTCTGCTGAATGTTTACCCCAATGCACCAGTGGTGCTTTCGTACTATTAATGCAAAGATGGTGATGAGAAATCAGTGTAAAAGAAAGTGTACATGCCATGATAATATGATATTATAGAGATCTTCATTCCATCCCAGCCATCTTAACTTGGTCATTCGGCCAAAAAGCTGAAAGCCTTATCTACATGTTCAATTACATATTTGTTTAGGCTTAGTTACTTTCCTTCTTTCTCCATGGTTTTTACTTTTCTTTTTCTATTTTAGTGGTCTTATTGCATATGTCATTTTTGGTCTTATTATAGTGGTCTCATTACATATATCTCACATACTTTTAGAAGGAAGGTAGGTTAGAGATCCTATTTTGCATAACATCTTATTCTTCCTCTTGTGCTTACAGTCCACAAAAAGCAATTTCATAAGACAAAATATTAATAAGCTTTAAGGAAGAATAAAAAACTATAGATAAGCAGAGATGTGATTTCCCCTAATTTCTCCCATAAGCTTTCATTCAACTATACTGAGCTGTGATGAAACAGATGATATGTGTTTTCCTCTAATAGCCCCAGCCCACCCCCTAGCCCCCAGAAAGCTTCTCCCTAATCCACGGCATCTACAGATAATGCTACACCAGAACTAAGCCTTTAGCAGCGCCTATTCAGATCCCCTGACACTGGGAGCAGTTAAAGGTTAAGTTGAATTTTTTTTAAGGTTTAAAAGATGAGCCAAGTCTAAATGTACATAAAAGGTGATCTTCTCGTACCTTCTCAGTATAAATGTCCCAAATGAGACTTACCAGGTCTGCCTTAACAGAATCAAATCAAGATTAGAAGGAGAAAATGCCCAAAGGAGAGGTAGAAAATCAAATGACCATAGGGGCTGGGCAGGTAATGTAGATCAAGGGTGGGCAAACTTCAGCCCATGAGCCAAATCCTGTTTCTGTAAATAGTTTTATTAGAACACAGACAAGGTCATCTGTTGACGTATCGTCTGTGGTTACTTTTGCACCAGAAGGGCAGAGTTGAGTAGCTGCAATAGAGACCACGTGGCACTTAAAGCCAAAGAATCTGGTCCTTTACAGAAAAATGTTTATGGGTTTCCTAATATAAAAACATGGGCCTGGATTAAGAAATTGCCCACTGTTTTTACTAAAAGAAAACTTATAGTACAAGTGTAATGAAAACTGGCCACTGGTATTCCATGCATCAGAGTCATGGAGGTAAGAGGGAGGAATGAGGCCCGTGGCGACTGGAGAGTGGAGGCTGGCAAGGCCCTGCTCCAGCTGACAGCTGCTATGGGGGAATACGGGCCAGTGTTGTCAGAATTTCCAATCATTTTCAAGAGAAGCCAGGAAGCTGAGTCTTTAGATAAATATCTCTCAATTTTTTAATGTTAGCAAGTAATACATTTTTTCCAACATTTGTAGGGCCAGCCCCCTGCCTAAAACCTTAAGTTTAAGGGAATTTATTCTCTAACACACAATATTAAAAAGCAGAAGGAAAGCTTTTTAGATTTTCATGTTTACTTCTTGTTTCAACACATTTCAGAAGTTTTTTCAGCTTGCTGAGTTTATTCCAAATTTCTGCTCATCCTTTGAGAAAAAATTTGATGAAGCCATCCTGTCTACCTCTATTTTGCGAAAAGCACATCTAGTCCAATTCTGCCTTTGGCAAATGTAGCAATTTGCCCTTTGGAGCTTTGGATGATGTCGTCATCATCATCATCACCAACACTTAATAAAAACGCTTTCCCTTTACCATGTTTTTACTAAATAATGAGCCATACACTGTGTTCATTATTGAAGCCATTTTTCTCATGTGTAAACTGAGAGTTAGGAAGGTTATTAAATAATTGTCCGTAGTCATATACCTAGAAAGTACTAGAGTTAGAAATGAGGACTCTTAACCACCACCCTAACTCAACTGTATTTTCATACCTGTTGATTTGCTAACTCTGCAGAAGGGTGTGTGCATACATGCGTTTGGGGTGGTGGTGGTGGTGTTTCTTTAATTCACTGGGTCTGAGTTGAAAAGAGTAGAAAGAGGCACAGTAATTGAGAGTACTATTGATTCTTCCAGAGCTTTATCATAAGAAACTAAGATATTTTTCAGAGGTTTTGCCCTATAGAAATGCCAGAGAAAAAAGCCAGCCTTAACATAACAGATTGTCAGTTTCTGATCAGTCCTGACCCAGGGCATTTGCTCTCAAGGGTGCTGAAAACTCCTGTGGGAGCCTCGCTGGTGGGTGACCTTATGTCACAGTCCAGGTCACTCAAGAAGTGAAGCTGATTCACTACATCTACTCAAAAAATAGGCATAAATGGTTAGCCCAGCAGCTGCCTTAATGAATATCCACAAACTATGCGACTCTTAAGAAAAAAAAGACAGTACAGATAGCAAATGTCTTCATTCTGCTTTGCCTGGCTCGGGTGTGTTAGCTATACTAACTGCCTAATGATTATACAGTTTTCTGAAATTTCAAGAAACTATAAAAATGTTGAATGTTCTCAACACAAATAAATGATAAATGTTTGAGATGATGGATATGCTAATTACCCTGATCTGAGCTATATACATTATATGTATCAAAACATCACAATTTACACCATAAATATGTGTTAATATAACTATGTCAATTGAAATAAAATTTTTAAATGTTATTGCCAAACATTTCATGATTTTTAAAAAATGAGTATTGATGTCATTCTCTGTGCAAACACTAGAGGGTAGGCGTGTTACACTGTTGAAGGCCAATCCTAGCTGGAACGTTCTGAAGCGGGCAGCCTCTTACCTAACACATGCCACGAAATGAAAGGGACTGCGTATGTAGACAAAACAAAAACTGTGAAAAACTGTCAGCATTAAATAGGGTATTTGAGGATTAATCCATCCATTATGTAAATTTTTAGTATGTGCCAGGGACTTTCTTACATTTCTTATACTGAGCTTACTTTTGTGTATTCGACAAAGCAGTATTTGTTTAACGAGCTGGTGTAAATTGGTTTATGTAAGACCCCACAACCCAATGAAATAGCTGTAGCAATGGAAATGGGATAATTGGCTACTGTAAAACAGGCGGAAACTGGGTGTTTTGTTTTATTTTTTTTCAATGTTCTTAAGTAAATCTCACCTGTCGGCAAACTTTGCACAAGAAAACTGAATATCCTTGTAGCCTAGTGTGTTCCAGCACAAAGCCAGCTCTAACCTCGACGTCTAAGAAGAAAAAAGCATCTCAGCTCACAAGCACAAAGCCAGCTCTAACCTCCATGTCCAAGAAGGGAAAAGCACCTCAGCTCACAAGTCACTTCCTGGTGTTGTTCACATACAAATGATTCTTAATTTATTACTTTCCCTAGTGAGTTCGAATGTACAAAAAGGAAGTCAGGATCCACTTCTCCTTAAAATTCTCAGAGCACCAAGGAACTGGTCCCAAATGGGCGCGTTTAGTGGCAGCAAACAGAGACGGTTACTCTTAATGAGACAATCCAACCAAACGATAACACTACCTAACCTGTAAAGTCTCAGGGATCACGAATATGATCCACACAGCTCTGAGAGAGGCAGAAACGACCCTAAGTGGTTATGGGACATGCCCAGGTTACGTGGCAAGGGTGGCAAAAACAAACTGAGCATAGTTTTGACAGCCAGCCCATCATCTTGTCCACTGTGTGAACTTAGACTCGGGAAGCATGAGTATCTGCCTCATTATGACCGGAGAAGCCTTTGTCAGAACATGCGACTTTGGAGGTCTGTATTTTCTCAAATGTAAAAAGGAGTAACAATAATAACAGCCAAATTTGCAATGTTTACCATATGCCAGGCACTGTCCCAAGCACTTTTCATGTATGAACATGCACATATGTCCTCCTAAATAACTCTGTAAGGTAGATGTGGTTATTCCCATTTGCACAGGAAGAAACTGAAGCACTAAAAGATTAAAGAATAGCGCATAAGCCCTGGCAGCCCAGCTGTAGGGGCCAGACTTCTTAAATACTTGCCCTGTCTACTGCTGGCTGTGAGAAACAAACTAGATAACATATGCGCCCTGGTTAACAAAGCACTATAGCCAAAACGATAGTGGATGTAATGGTTATAACAAAAATCTATGTAAGCAGTGTAGCATCACAACCCGAAAGGGCAGGTAATATTTAACACCGAACATAGACATAGAATTATAGCATTGTAGTCAGAGAACTAAAACTATCCAGAAAGAATAAAGGAATTCTAATAACCAATAGATAATGAAGGTATTAGTTACATTTTTAAGAAATATGTTAGATACGTTAGCACTAAGAAGAATGATCTAATGATCTTTTTTCCATAAAGGAGGGTTTGAACCCCAAATCTAGCAAAAAGGACAAGAAAGAAAGCTACAGAATATGCTGTTCTGCACGCTTGTTCTTTTAGGTAAGATGTATATTTATCTAGAAGGTTCCAGACAAGCTCCTGCAAAGAGGCTCATTGAAGGCCTCCAGGACTTAAAGTCCTATTACTATAATGTTTGTAAGGGACCAGAAATCACATTCTAAGCTCTACAGGAAATAAAAAAAAAAATGGTCCAGCCTCTCAGTGGACAATTAACCAGTGAAATGACGCACTGCTAACCAGTACTTTGTGACTCTGACTTAGAGTTGAAGTAGATTTTGAAGGAGGCGCAGTCTGGGGTTCAGGGTCATGCTGATTGAGAGATGAGTAACCTATTACTGCTGATCCAAAACAGGAGAAAAAAAGCGGTAAGGGATTAACTGGGGTCCAGCTTTGCCCACAGCTCTCCTTCATCCACCTCAAAAAGCAAAAAGTAGATTTGATATATTAATCATAGTACTAATAACCAACATTTCTCAAATGCCTACTATAGCCAGGAATTGTCCTAAGAACTTTTTGCATGGATTGAGTTTCTTTCATTCTCAGAATTACACCATCAGAGAGATGTCATTGTTATCACTATTTTATGAATGGGAAAACTAAGGTGCATAGAAATTAAGAAACTTGCCCAATGCCATAAAGATAGTAAATGTCAGAGTCGAAATTTGAACCCAGGATATCTGAATCGTAGAGGCCATGCTCCAAACAGCCCATTTTCAGAGTACTAGTTTAGGGGAAGAATGACCCAACAAGCTCTTGTCAGAAACTTGAGAAATTGTTAGCCAAGCATATTCACAGTGTAGACAAGAGAATGTGAGCTGACCTAAAAACCAAAGCCCCCAGCGGAATGAGGATGCTAAATATGGGCCTCCATGCCCGCGTGCTAAAGCACTGACCCAGCAGCAGACCCCGCCTGTCCAGCACCTGCCCTTGGGAAAGTTAGCCTACATTCTTGAAAAATAATTTGGAACTCAGATTTTTCGATAAATAATGCCAGATATCCACTCAACTGAAAAATAACAAAAGTCTAAAATAAGAAAGACTACAGAAGGTTGGGGCATAGTAACTAGAAGGAGGAAAGCAAGAAGAGGGAGCTTTGATGTGAGAAAGGTGGAAGAAAATGAGAGCTCATCGGTGAGACAGAAGTGAGAGGTAGATAGAAATCAAAGGAGGGTGATGATTTTGGAGGTGGGCCCAGGAAAAAAGGGGCAAGGATTGGCCAGAGGAGGAAAGGAAAAGAAAAAGAGAAAGGGCAGATCTTAGGATTCCTGAAAAAGGGAGTCCACAAAATGTTTTAACATATCAGATTTATTAATAAGATTAAATTCCTAGGCAAGCTACAACACACATAATTTTTTTTTCATAAGGGAGCCCATAGAGAGCTACAAGTGATGAGCTTGTTCTACCCTACCATCTTGCCTACACATGGGTGGTCTGACATGCTAACCAGCAAACCAGCAAAGCCCCTCCCCCACTGAGCAATGGCTGAAGAGCATCCCCCATACCCTGCCCATCTGTCAATCAGCTCCCCAGAGTGGTTACTACAGATGGGAAATAACGGGCTTCCTTGTGGCAGTCTGGGACGGTGCACGTACAGAACTGGTCTTCCTCAATTTTCCCATTTTTAAACTTAAAATTGGGGTTTACCAATAGATTTTTTGAAAGTAAGAATCACTAGAAACCATAATATATTTTCAATAAAGGAAAATGTTACCAATACCAATAGTGCAAGTTGTTGGTTCAAAAACTGTTAAATGATTTGTCAAATGAGAGGAGAGCTATCCTATAAATAGATAGATAAGGAAGTAAACTGTGAGGATGATATTTTATCAACTTTAAAACCTATTAGCAATACTGGTAAAGGAGAAAAGCACTCTTAGTATTCTATTTCCTTTCTCTCTTCCAAACATCCATCAACGAATCCAGACTTTATTGTATACTAAAATCTTCTCTTGATCCCATTAATTCCAACCAGATTTTCCTTTTTTTCTCCAATCATAAATTTTCCATTTCCAATCACAAAAATGTATTAATTTGTGAAAATATCTTGACAGACCCATGAATCAGTTTTAGAAAGGCAATATTTGTTTGAGCTATCTCCAGATATATTATTCATATTTTTTTAAAAAGTTTAATGAGAAAGCAATCCCCAGGAGCAATGAAATGGATAATTGGAAAGCAATGATGTTTTGGGCTATAATTATAGCCAGGATTAAATATGTAACTCTCTGGCAGAATTAGAAAACAGTAATTTCTTTTCCTAAATTTCCCTAAACCAAGTTTTCCAAATCCTCCATTGTGGAAGCAAGTACAACTTCACTTTTTTTTTTTTTTTTTTTTTTAATGTACAATCCCTTTCACCTCAGCTCTCCTCAGCAAGAGATACCTAGGACTTTGGGAGCTTTCCTAAGCCATTGCCTTAGCCACTGTAAGAGAATTTGCTGGAAAGGTGCACACATTTATGCTCTTAAACTGAACTGGCTTTCGGCCCTGCTATGCTGCTTCTACAGTTGGGCTTGTAAGCCGCTTCCCAATGGATGAGTGTGTTCCCACATGGACTTGGGTGACAGAGTAGCCAGTGTTTAAAGAGAACAGAACACCCAGTGAGAGAATCTGGGCTCTTCACACAGGGGATATTCTATTGCCTCCATTGATGCAGCTGTGATACGTGGCTGTGTGTGGCTCTTTGTGGCTATGAGTAGGAATGTTCAGGTTTGTATTTTTTTTGGATATGAGTTTTTGGAGGGTCTCGATGTTTGAAAGGGGAGCTTTTAAAATAGAATTTCATTTATTCCCTGTGCAACATGAATAGCTGAAACACAGGTTAATTTTCCTACTGCTCTCGCGTTTTAGATTAAAAATTATATACTAGAAACTGGAAATTGGGCTAGAAATGAATAGGACTCCATTCATTTAGAATTTCATAACAAGTGCATTGTGTCTGGACCTTGACACTATTTTTCTTAAAGCATCTATTTAAGAAATTAATATTTTAAGTCCTGACAGCAATTTTCTCAGAGACTACAGATATAATTTACAGATCATTTAACTCTTCATCAAAGGTGGTCTTTAAAAATCTATGCCAGCCATTATGATCAACTGATATGCTGAAGTGATCAAATAACAATTCTTTTAAAATGTTATACTACTTGCTACCATTTTCTCCACCTCATCCTGCCATACAACACACTTACCTGGGAGACCTGTAGCTCCAGGCAAACCTTTAGGACCTCTTCCAGGAGGGCCACGCTCGCCCTTTTCTCCCAAGTCACCTGCATTTTATTAAAGAAATGTTATTTTTCTATATATCTATACAAATAAACTTCTATATTTTTAAACTTTAAGCAACCCAAAATTCAGAAACCAAAAGGTCATAAAGTTGCCATAAACTTGATGATAGAAAGTATGCAGCAAGACAAAAATCAAGTTCATCACATTAATAAATCTAAAGGGAAAAATATCAAATTGTCGTATCCATCTACCTGTGAGCTTCTGTGTAAAAAAAAATTATATCCGTAGATACCAAAATGACATTTGACAAAATTGAATATGCATTCTTGATAAAATAGTCATTAAAATAAGAATCAATTTTAACATAATAAAATGTATCTATTTCAACCCAAAACTAGCACAATGCTTAACGGGAAATACAAGAAGCAATTCTACAATCAGAACCATGTAAAGATGCCTATTTTATCACTATTATATATCATTATCATATATCATTTGGTTTGAGGAGTAAAAATCATCTGTATTTTCAGATGATATGAGGATATATCTTAAAACTCTAGAAAATCAACTCAAAAACAACTACAAACAATAAGAGAATTCATTGAATGAGCAGGGTACAGAATTAACATATGGAAATCAATAATTTTCATATATACAAACAACCAGTAATAAGATGGAATTTTAAAAGATACCATTTTAAAATATTTAGGAATAAGCTTAATCAGAAATACGCAAGTCCAATATGAAAAAAAATTTAACATTTCTAAAGGACATGAGAAGACTTGAAAAACATTCTTAAATGGAATGACATCATCATAAAAAATTGTCAGTTCTAAGCTGAATTTTCGTCATGCTCCCAATAAAAATAAAAACATATTTTTTAACCAAAGGCAATTCTAAAGTTTGCATAGAAAAACATATTAGCTAGATAATCCAGAAAAACTCCTAAAAAGAAATGCAACATGAAGGGAATTAATCCTATGAGATAGTAAACCAATTAAAACAGTGTGGCACTGGTCCCTGAATACATAAACCAGTGGAACAGAACAGAAATTTCAAAAGCAGGCCCAAATATATATAGGAATTTGATTTATAATAAAAGTGGCATCTTAAAGTGGGAAAAAGTTGAATAATTCAATAAATGATGTTAGAAAATGTGGGTAGTCAACTGGGAAAAAAAGGTAGATGTATATCTCATACCATATTCCAGGATAAATTACAAATGGATCCAATATTTAAGTGTAATTTAAGAATCAGAACAATACAAGGGAAAATTATCTTATAACCTCAGATTGGCCTTTCTATTATGATTTGAAATATGAAGACTTCTAAAAATCAATACAAAAAGGCCAAAAACAAAATAAACAATGAGCAAAATACATGAGCAGGCAGGTCACTAAAAGGAAATAAAAATGGCTCTTAAGTATATGAAAAATTCCCTGACTTCACTCTCATAACAATATAAATGCAATTTTTTTTAAAAAAAAAAAAGATGCTTTTTTTCACCTATAGGCGAGGTAAAAGTTTCAAAGTTTAATTAAACATGTGCTAGCAAGTCTGTGGAAAAATAGGGTAATTTGACAATAGCTATCAAAATTTCAAATGGAAGTAGCACGTTACCCAGCAATTCCAATTCTAGGAATTTATCCCAAAGAGACAGAGATAGAATATATGTTAATATTTTGCACAAAAATGAAGTACGTACAATACTGTTCATTGCAGCAGCCTTGCCGTAATAGCAGAAGATTAGAACTAATGTAAATGTCCATTAGAATGTTAAACACATTATGGTATTTCCACAGAATGGAATACTATGCAGCTATGAAGAGGAGCCAGGAAGCTCTTTGGAATGATCTCCAGAACATACTGTTAAGTGAAAAGGCAAAGTTCAGATCACTTGCTAAAGGACAATATGATTTATTGTTAAAAGGACATAGGGAAAATACATATATCCTTATACATCATTGCTTGTAAGGATATATAAGAAACTAATAATAGTGATTACCCAGTAGGAAGGAAAAAGGAAACTAGGCAAATAGGAGACAGGGGTGGGAGAGAAACCTTTCACTAAATGCCTTTTTGCACATTTTAAAATTTTTGAACATAGTAAATTTAGTATCACCAAAAATAAATTAATGAATTTTAAAAATTTAAACTGTGCTGCCACAAGTGTCTACATTTCACTACTGACTCATTATTTATAGGGAACATATTCTGGATTGCAACCAACCATGTGTATTTACAAGACAGTTGATTGAAATTAGGGATTTAGCAGCCACAGAACAAAGTTCTAGTAATTATCCCAACGCCTGCAGAGATCAAACCCAGCAACTTGGCCTCATTAACACAGTGCTTTAATACCTTAGTTAACTGGTCCTAAATGACTTGCTCCTTGTATAAGGTATTATTCTATTATAAGAGTAGTGTATTATTATTCTACTACGCTATTAGAAGATGCAATGGCATTTCATAACAAATTCTATATATCATTTTTTTCAAACATCTGTATCAGCCCAGTCTCATTCAATATTGAGTCAAATTTACAATTTAAAAAACAAAGTCATGTAAACAAAAATAGAATGTCTGTACAACCATCTGTCCTTAGTCAAATAGTCAAAAATCTCTAATTTTGAAGTGAATGTTTAGTCACAATACTTTGATTTTAGCTTTGAATGTCCTTATGTGAATGTTTTTATGATGAATCAACTACATTTTCAAAACAATTTAAATTTATATAAATATCATGTAAAAATTGAACTCAAGTTGAACTCATTTACATAAGTTTAGTTTGTTGGATGTTTTTTTTTTGGGGGGGTACACACCATCAATATGGCCTTACTATATTAGGAAGATATGACAATTAGTATTTTAAAAGGTAACAGCTTAAGCATTCTTGTTAACTTAGCAATTTAAATGTCATATCACAGTAATTCTGGAGGCTGGCAATGACAAGAGAATCTCTAAATGTGCTACATTATCTGAAAATATAAGATAAAGATGATAAATTAAAATGTAGCTTTCACACTGAGAGTAAAAGTTAAACTTATTTACACATTCTAGCACGAAGCCATACCAACTTTAAATGTTGGTTGCAAGGAGTAAGACCGCTGTGTATCAGTCACAGAAAAACAAATTTAAGATGAGCTCCAAGACAGAGTATACTGTGCAAACTGCTGCTCCACAGCAAACTGTGAGTGTTGTAGGGTTAATCTACTTCTTCAAACCCTGGTCATATCTTCTTTCAAGATGCACAAAAACCAGCTCAGGGAACCAAAGGTCAAGCTTTGTTAGCCTACTCAGTCAAAAAATACACATAAAGAGCTTGTAAAATAAGCTTTAGATAAGGTACGAAGGAAAATATGCAGTTTGAGCAGAAAAACAGCTCATTACGAACAGAATGGAAATCCTCATCACTCTATAGTTGCTATTCATTTCATTTATTCACAAGCTATAACTGATGCTCTATTCTCCATGTGAGCAGATTAACACTGAAAAAGGTGTTAATCACAATTATGACATATATATCTCAAACCTTCATTTGCATAGTGCCATGTCTGTCTGATTCACACTAAAATATATCCAGCTTTACTCAAAGGGACTTAAAATTAATCCATACTGTGAACACTTAAAAATAATATTTATGAAACAAAAGACTAACATAATATTAAGCAAAGTGAACATAAGGGCTGCTAGCTCTCTCGTGTTTCTGATTGAGTGTATACATAAAATGTACACACCTTGGCCCTAACATGTTTGTGTAATATTTTATAAGACATGTCAGTAAAAAAACAAAGAAAAACTATAGGTATGGTCTAAGGTTTGAGGCATATTTCTGCTATAGCTCCTAATGAAAACGTTCCAATGTATTCTTCAGAGTATTTTTTAGGTGAAAAAAAGTGATTAAGACATAACCTGAACTATTAAAAGCATTAACAATAAAACTTAGTTACTTATGTAACAGTTTCTCTAGAAAAAAACTCTCAAAGTGACTGTATGGTAGAGCAAGACTCATACCATCCCTTCTTTACTAGGCATGGGGGGAGAAAGGCAACACGCAACACTGAGATACATCTCTTCTCTAATTGGCTGAAATTTTAAGTTTCAAAATGGTGGAGTGTTTATTCTCAGGGAAAATTTGAGCTGTAAACATTTGGATAGTAGACAACTATATGTTTTCTATTAAATACTACTGTTCATATATGTAGTAGAACAAGAAAAATCAAGTCTAGCACTTAGAATCGTGTATTTCCAAATGTATGACAGCATTGGCCAAGCTATGCTTGATGAATGAATTTAGTGCTTAGTACATTTTCCAAGTTCCAAATATAGAAATATGCTTTTCTTCCTTTCAACATGAGATTTGTCTACTAGAACCAGTCCAGCCCAACCTAGCCACAATTCAATGTTGCTGAAGCTTCCCAAACAATTCACCTTTATTTACAGGGGTTCTCAGTCCCGGCTGCACATTAAAATCATTTGGGGATGATTTTAATCCCAATGCCAGACCAATTAAATCAGAATTTCTGGGAATGGGACCCAGACATCGGTAATTTTTAAAGTTCCTCAGGTGACTCCCAAAGTGCAGGCAAGGCTGACAAAGGCAGCTTTAGACAGATTCCCGAGCTTAGCAAGTGACGTAGCCATTTTTATGTTTTAAAGGAGAGTTCTGTTACTAGCTCAAAGTTAAGCTCTGCCTCAAATACTGAGACTTCCTGTTAGGCAAAGAAAATAGGGTTGTGATGTCTGTAGTCCCTACCTTTCAGTAGAAAATTGGACGATTGTTTCCCACTAGTGCCTTTAGCTGCTTCAAAATCACCTGGAGGGCTTGTTAAACCAGATTTCTGGGCCCCGCCCCTAGAGTTTCTGATTCAGTGGGTTTGGGGTGGGCCAGAGAAATCTGCACTCCTAACTAGGTCTCTGGTGATACCGATGTTCCAGGGACCACTGTTCCAGACCACTGCTCTAAAGTGAACTCAGGAAAGGGTGAGGCATCGTCATCCGTGCGCTCTGGCACAACAGAGCCAAATAAAGCCAACAATCCACCCAGGCAATAGAGTTTCTTAGAAATAAATGATTTACAGTGTGAACTGGGACTAACCATAGAGAGAGCACCTAAGGCATGAATGCCCAAACTAGTAGCCAAAAGCAGGATGAAAATGAATAGGTATGTGATTCTTCTGGAGAAAATGTTCAGTTCTCTTTAAGAGGAACTCTCCTCTCAGCTTGCTTTCTATTTGATATTGTCCACTCTGAAAGCTTTGAAATTGTGCCAGCCTTACAAGAGGCCCCAATTAGAGCTCATTTTTTAACATGTAGCTCTGCATATGCCAAAAAAAAAACAAAAAAACACAAATGTAATTAAATAAATTGTTCCAGCTGAGGATGTAGTTAGCCAATTGCATCAGCAATTCATTTACAGATCCAAAAAGGCAGCTTGCTTGCCCTCTGACCATTCATACCATAATATTTATCCCTGATTGGAGCATAATATTAAAAAAAATAAGTCCCTCTCTTGTTTTTGATGTCATGACTTTCTGAAGTTCCTCAAACAGCTGTCAGTCATTCATCCTATTACAGAAACTCCTCACTTTATGTAGCCCTTTCTGTAAATTATCCAGGGCACGTACATTTAAAGGTGATAAGCTTACTCCCCCTAGCTAGCAAACTCCATCTGAGGCAACCAGCCCTTGCATCACTCCTGCTGAACACCTAACACACTCCCAACCCTGTTTTTCTGCAAAATACTGGACACGAGCACTTAACTTTCTTTAAATAAAAATGGGAGAAACAAACTGTCACATATGAAAGAAGGAATAAAGTCAGATTGTACTTTAGAGCTGAAAAAAAAATCAAAATTTAATATACAATGTCACTTTTTAAAAGAAGAGGGAGGCAGCTTCAATTCATGATGTCATTTTTCTTACGTTCTGCTAAAAAAAAATTGTCAGTTTAAATAACAAATACAAATACTCTAAGGATGGTTGCTAACTTAGAAGAGCTCTACAATGACTTTAGGGTCTCAAAAAAGAAAAAAATAGCTGAATGATCCTTTACCAGAGCCTGTAAAGTTTATTTTGAACCATGACTGAGGCACAGTGTAATTGAGAAGGATCAGCAGAGAAAATCAGGGGACCTTACTTCTAGTATTTGGCCACTGTGGCGGTACAGCAGAGTCGAGAGAACATCATATAACAGTTTTCAAATCTTTACCATCACTACTGTAAAAGAGAGTAATATATCTTCTCATCTTATTGGATAGTCAGGCATTGGTAAAATGTGAATTCCTTGAACTTAGATATAGATTATATACCTGAAAAAGGGAAGTGTGTGTTTTTTGTTTTCACCTGGGCAGCATGGCTTACCTTTTGGTCCTCTCAAACCAAGAGCTCCAGGGGGTCCTTTCATGCCTGGAAGGCCACGAATTCCCATCTGACCTGGGAAGCCATTCTCTCCAGGGGGGCCAGGGGGCCCAGGGGGCCCAGGCCGCCCAGGGAGGCCAGAGACACCAGAGTCAGGACGCTTAAGACTAGCAGCCATCTCAGCAAAATGCTCTAAAAGATAATAAACAAAATCCAGAAAAGTCAGAAACATGAAAGTGATTCAAATGAAAAGAGAGGTATTCCAAATGCCTTTTTTCTAAATGTGTCACCAGAGCTTCAAAAGTGATGATAAGAAATGAATACAGTTAGATCATTTTTCCCTGGACTTTCTGCCAGGAAGCTTTACTAGTGCTTTTTTATTCAGCTCTCCCTTATCCAAATATATCCTATTTGGTCCTGCTGTTTTGAGACAAAGAGTAGAAGATTAAAAAAAACTTAAACTGCAGCCTTTGGAGTGAGTGATGTTCTGGAAGGATGATGTTCAGGATTTTCACCTAAATCCTGGCTGGGTATCTGAAAACCCAGGATGGGAAGAAAAATGAGTTTCCTAACATAGGTGCACATGGATTTCCAAAAGCTTTTTAAAAGCCAAGGGCATTATCCAAAATCAGTATTCAGACACCATTTGAGACCCAGCCTTACATTTTTAGCTTGAAGATATTATATAACCTGAAATATCCTTAGGATTCATGGCTTCTTACAAACCCTCGCTCTCAGAAGTTTTTTTCATGCTTGGTGTAGATAACATTAAAAATAACCTGTTTCTTGGGAATAGTCATAGTCAGTCTTAAAAATTAATAACTATGTGGCCTTTTTCAGGAGCCATTAGATTCAGAATCATCCACTAACGATACGGAGTACAAGAAAATACTCTAAGGAAAAAAGTCTAGGGTAATGTTTTTTAAAATTTGGGGTATAGAGGAGAATATGAATTGGAAAAAAATTTCTAACCAACATTTTTAAATTGTTTAGATGTGAGTATTCTAAATTTGCCTTAAGTGTTAGCATAAAATCATAATTTCCTAGATATGTAACGTTTACAACTGAAATAGACCTTCAAGATAAAGAATGTACAACGAAGAGACTTCTATTTCAAATATGAATGATAATTCCATTCCCATTTGGTTCCAGAAAACCAAACTTCCGGACTTCTCCACAAGTCTACTAAACAAAATGACTGTCTAGAGCTGTGGTTCTCCCAGCCTTCAATCCCTTACAGTCCATGGCCTGTTAGAAACAAGGCTGCACAGCAGGAGGTGAACGGCAGGGGGGAGGAGCCAGCAAAGCTTCATCTGTATTTACAGCGCTGCCTGCATCCTTCGCATCACCACCACATAAGCTCCATCTCCTGTCAGATCTGCAGCAGCATTAGGTTCTCATAGGAGCACAAATCCTGCTGTAAACTGTGCATGCCAGGGATCTAGGTTGTGCACTCCTTGTGAGAATCTAATGCCTGATGACCTGAGGTGGAGCTGAGGTGGTGATGCTAGCACTGGGGAGCAGCTGCACATACAGATTATCGTCAGCAGAGAGGTTTGACTGCACAATAAATGTAATACCCTTGAATCATCTGAAATCATTCCCCCAACTCCCCACTGATCTGTGGAAAAACTGTCTTCCATGAAACTGGTCCCTGGCGCCAAGAAAGTTGGGGGCTGCTGGTCTAGAGAACATAAAAAAGGAGAGTATCCCTTCATGACAGAATTGGTTACCCAGAATAATATAATTACTAATATCTGTTAGAAGGCTCCAACGAATAGGGTCTCCTCAGTTATAGGATATTTTTATACATCTTCATTTTCTGTGTGATTTTATCACTAGACCAATTCTGAAACAGCTAGCATAACCAGGCCAATCCCTGAAACAAATAACAATTGCTATAGCTACAGATGAATTTACATAAAGGTTAACAACTGTGAAAATATATCATCAATTTGGCAAAAGGCTAGTTATTGATTTTCTGAATACATGGTACACGAATGGAGATCATGTCCTTATGTTTCTCATGGTCATGGAGTTTGTCATTTGCTTCTCACAACTCTAGAGAGAGTCTGGGACAGTGCAAGGTACACACTAAGAGGTAAGATCTTAAGAAGGGGAGGGACACCTGAGAATTTGTGTTCCAAAGGAAGTGTGTGTCTCTGTGCGTGTGTGTGTGTGTGTGTGTGTAATTTCTTACAAATTAGCCCCCTGGCACAAAAAAAAAAAAAAGAAAAAAGAAAAAGGCTAATGCAGAAAAATGGTATTTTACTTTGAAGCTACAAGCTATTGTGGAGGGCAACAACTGAATAAAACAGAATTGGCATTAATATTACTCAAAATCTCCCACTTTAAAGCATACAAAAAGTCATTATTAATGAGCCTTGCATACTTACGAGAATAAAATCTTAAGAAGCAAGAGTTTATGGTGGAAAAAGTCAAACTATTGTGATTTATTTACCTTGCATGACTCTTATGCAAACCTGCTTAATGTGCTGATCTGTCGGTGCTCTACCCTGGGACAGAAAAGAAAAAAGGCAGTTTATACGTGGAACCACAAAGAGAACATTGTTAAGTTGTAAACTGACGGACTTGGCAAGAAGTCTTGCAGGTGGCTGGATTTACAACAAAAGAATCCGTGGTGAGGAGCTGATGCCTAGTCTGGCCCCGCTGCTGTGGGATGGAGTCTCCAGAGGGAAACCACGGGGACTGCCCACCACTCACCGGAGGGCCCTGGACACCGGGCAGGCCAGTGGCACCCTGTTCTCCCTGCACTCCTCGGGGTCCAGGTGGTCCTCTTGGTCCTTCCACTCCAGGAAGCCCCCGAATTCCTTCAGGTCCTCTCAAGCCAGGCTCCCCAGGGTTACCCAGCTGGAACGAAATAGCACACTATAAAACCAGAGCTGAGCACAAGTAATGTGCCTGCTTAATATCAATGCCAACATGTGAAATTTGGGGTTTCCTACATTCTAGCTATGTCCTAACAGGTGTTCCTTCAGAGGCCACAAATCCTTTACCTTTACCCCAAGGTGAAGACACGTAATGCCACAGAACAACTCACCTGTCTCTTAGAATTCTAGTTCAAGTAAACTTTTAAAAATCTTTCTTTCTGGTGCTGTGATTATTGCAAAATATTCACTGGGATAAAACATTTTTAAAACCACATTCTTCATAAAGTAAGCCACTTCCTTAAGAGCAAGTTAGCTTTTAATAGGGCTTGTTAACATTTTCTGGCCACACAAAGGCCACTGAGTTCCTATAAGATATGTTACTTTGCATATCACCAATGCAGCAAGCATAAAATAAAGATATTTCCAAGAAGATAAGTTATTTAGCCTTTATAACATTTTTTGGAAAATGTGAAGATACCAGTTGTATCCAGTAATTATAAAATACTAACACAAACAAAGTCAATGCACTTAAAATTCCACATTTTAATGCTGCATTTAAAATATTCAACCAGAAAAAGTTCACAATTTGTCTAAGTACTAAGGAAGTTAAAAAATATAAATACTAAAGTTAAAAATAAACCACTTGCTTCCTTAGCTCAAAAGCAAATAGAAGTTAGATTTTTTTTTCTGAAAGCAGACCACTAAAATCATTTAAAAGTCTTCATCTACAATAACTGCTTTTAAAAGAGACTAAATTAATTCACTTTTTGTTAAACTAATTGTTAAATTTCCTCTGGTAGAATTTGTAAAGTAGCTCCAATGTACTGTTGTTCAGAATAAGAATGAGAAGATAAAAAGACAGGAGGTGCCAATGGAATGCTAGTGTTCAAGATATGAATGTTTATAAAGCAATTTAATCCTGCTTTTTCATGTGCACCATTTATCTAGAAAAAGCTAACTCTTTCATTCAAATGCTTTACGGAAGGTGATAAAGCGATACTTTCACTAGACCCATTCAAATAAAGCTCAGCAAATGTGCTTTTTCCAATCTCTCTTTATGCAAAAAAATTGATATTCATCTAAGTCAACTTGCCAAAATTGCTTCTATGAAGAAATTATGGCTTAAAGACTTCCTGAAAGAAGGTGTCAACAAGGAAAGCTAAAGATACAATGATGGGAGGCTGCAAAATTGTCAGGTAACCTAGGGTGCAAAACTATAACAACTTCTAAAACAACCCAGAAGAGGAGGCAAAATGAACTCAGAAATGTACTAAAGAACTGGCAGAAAATAAAGGAGACCAAATCAGAGAGTACTATACTACCGGCAATGGCTGAAATATTGCTACAATAAAGGACAAGAACTTCTTGATGAAAAGATTAAGGGATGATATGGCCAGAACATCATAAAGGGCCTTAGGTCTTTAGGAAAGAATTCCTCAATTGAGGAGTGGTATGCTGAAGTAGAAATGAGGTCACAGATATCTACTACTCAACGAGTTGGCCTTGCTGAAATCAATGAGGAAAGTAAAAGTCTTTGTGTGAGTTACTATTGCCCCTGATTCTGAGACAGTGTACTTCAATTTCATCAGTATTACCTGGGCAATGTCAGGTAAGACACAGTAGGGAAGGAGGTGATGAATCAAGGCCTAATTCCTAATACTATATCCAAATCTGAATGAAATTAACTTATGTTGACCACTCTATGGTCCATTTGATTTTCTTCTTTTATAGCTTGAACTGAACTGAGTATTTCTAGATAGTGAAGTAGGATTTCAATTACTAAACTCTATCATGGTTTACTTTTTTTTTTCTTCTTCAATTCTAAACCATTTCTGTCAAACATTCTTAGGCATAAAATGTTACTTGAAATTTGAGACATGGTGTTTAGAGGCAGGGAAATTAATAAAACGTATCAATATTCATCTTGTGGTATGCAAAGAACCCAAGGCTGGGCACTGGAACCAAGTCTGGGTGGTTCCTCCTGGAGAAAGTGGGGCTGGGAATGGATCTAAATGCTTAAGCAGGACGTAGCTATTCCAAGGAAAGAGGAAGAGTATTCCAGGCTAGGAAAATGGAACAAAGTGTTCAACAGCATGGCATGTAAAAAGACATGCAAATAGATAAAGTTTCAGATATGTAGGTGATGAGGTTGGTGAAGCAAAGAACATTTCATTGAAGGCTTTGTATACCTTGCTTTAGAATCTGACTTTATTCTATAAAATCATATTCTTGAAGAGTTTTAAGCAGAGGAGGTTTACACAGTGGATTTTATTTTTTAAATCTAAGTTACATTGGCTGCCATGAAAATAATATGTTGGACAGGGACAGAGAGGAGTGGGAGAGATTCCAGAAATAGGAAGGACTTGGAAATTAACTGGGAGCTTGTGGTAGTGGCATTTGAGATTAGGATCTGAGCTTCATCTTTTCTCCTTATACTTTCTTAAGTTTCTGATTGTGTTAGATGTGCATTCTTTTCAAATTAGCAAGTCATCTCAGGTTTCCTACTAACTGGTTCTGTAATTCTGAATATATCTAATCTCTAAGGACATCGGTTTAGTTTCTGTAAAATGACAAAAATTGAACAAGACTGTCATTTTCTAGTTCTAATAATCCTGTTATATTTTCTTATGTATTATGCTTCTATCTTACTACCCCAACTAGAGCACACAGGAGATTAAGAAAACCACTGAAATATTTTGCAATGGTATAACTGCCAACAAAATTCAATTATACTCTCATCACCACAAAGCACAAGTCACTTCTTTAAAAATGACCCATTTCGGGAAGAAATTAGAGTATTATTACCATGTAAGACTCATCGAGCCACTTATGATGTGAAGAAACACTTTCGTTAGAGTGGTTAGTTCAAAAGGTAAATCCATTTACACCACTGTAAGTTTTTTTCTATTGAATTAATCTATTACCTAAAGAACAAATTTAGACATTTATTTCTGTGGTGATAAGTCCTTTAAGAATTGAATTATAGAGAATGATTTCATAAAGCAGGACATTACATTTTATACAGCTTTATTGCTATTTTTAATTTTTTATGCCATTACTGTTCATTATACTTACAGATCCCTTTGGGCCAGGTAATCCTGTATCTCCCTAAATCAATAAAACAAAATTATATTAGAATAATGCATTCACATCTGA